GAGGGGATACGTTTTCGTACGCAACAACGTTGCGTCCTCGTTACAATGGATACGCGGTCGATTTAAAAAAATATTTTTCCCATTTAAACATACATACATATGTACACACACACGTACTTAACCATTTTTTATTTCGTCGTTGACTTTTTAACCCGGTCGCCCGAAAATCGTATTTTTTTATTCTTTTTAAAACCGTTAATTTTGCCTACGGTTAATTGGTCGATAAACGCGAGAGCGCCTCATCGTAATTCGACCGGTTTTCGAAGTCCCGACGGGGCAAACTTACAACCCCCGCGCGGGCCCAGCATTTATCAACGTCGCGAACACGACGCGGCGACGTGCCCGGAAAAACGTTCGGCGGGAGAGGACGTTCGCGGCGAACCGTGTAATTATCACGGTTCGCGAATAAATCGTACAAAAAACTCTCGTTGTACCGCAGAGCGAGAACTTGAAAGCGGCCGGATCCGAAAAAACCGGCGCGTTTTCATAGCTTTTTCGCAAAAAAAAAAAAATACGCGCGGCGTTGGGGAATACCCTTAACCCACGACGCCCCCGACCCCTGCGCACACCACCGAGGACGGGCCGGTAAAAAATCGGTCCCGCCGAATATAGAACAACAAGTGTACCTGCACATGCGGAATAATATTACGAAAACCGTTGTTTACTTACAGATTTTCACGGGACAACACACTCGGGTCGCGACGTTTCCGCGGACTGCTGGCGCGTCTCGGGGCGAAATCGCGTACACAAAATATCGCGGGGATATTTTTTTTTATTTTTTATCCGGACAGGCCGCGGCGCCGGACAGACATTACCGGGGGAAAACGTAATGCGCGGGCTGTCGGCGGACACACTGCTCGCGAACGGAAAAACGACAACCGCGGCGGGGCGCGAATTTATTAACGCCGGAATTTCACGCGGAAAACCACGGCGACGGGATTTTCGCGGCCAATGTAACGGCGGCACACGTGCGCGATTCAGGCTGCTACCGGTATGACGACAGCAATAACTATTCGCTGCTGTACGGGAAACGCATGAAGGGAAAAAAAAAAATAAAAAACAACGATAAAATAAAATAAAAACAACGGAATACCGACGCGGACGCGTAGGCACGGGGAAAAAAAAAACGATATGCGCGGCACACCGGCGGTACGGCCGAACACGGACAGCGGTAATGAAACGCGGTGTACGCGGACGCGGAGGATGACGGATATTGCGGGCAGGTTCATCTGCTGCGGTGCCCGTCGGCTCGGGCTAACCTACCCCAACCGCCGCGATTGCCCCCCCCACCACCCACCGGGCCGAGCTACCGCGACGACGGCGGCGGTACACGACGCACGGTACACGCCCACCGGACCGACGCCGCGTGCCCGCGTGCGTGCGCTCGCCGCCCGGTCGCGTGCGTGTGCGTAGCTTTTTTTTTTTCCGTCACTCCCGCCCGCCCACCGGGCCGCACACACGCGCGCGCCGTACGCTTCTACTATTTTTTTTTTTTTTTATACCTCCGCGGCGCGCGAAAGGATTGGGCCGGCCCACCAGTAATATAATTGGGTGTGCGTTTTTTGTCGCTCTCTGTCAATAGAAACACGCGGCGGCCGTGCGGCGCGACGGCGACGCGCGATAAACCGAACGAGCGCGCGTGTGACGACCGCGCGCCGCGTCTGTGTATTCGCTCTGTATACATTATCACACATAGGTGTGCGCATAGCATACAGTCGTACGCGCGACCGAAAGCACGGGCCGTAATGCACGTTCGTTACTTTTTATTTTTAGAGGAACGACTTCCGAAACGAGACGAATCGAATGCCGTCTTTAAAAATACACGATTTACGACGGCGGCGCAGCGTGCGGCGTATAGGTACGCGGCGCGTGCATACGCGTCGGTCCCGTGCCGCGCGCTCGAGTCGCACGCGACCCAAAACGTTCGGACGGAAACGTTACGCGTTCGGTCCCGGCACACGACGAGGCCACAAATCCGATGATTGTGTTCGGACCGGTGCTGTAGACTGTTAATTGATTTTAAAATCGGAATCGGTCGTAAAATGGTGAAATTTCGGTCGCGACATTTCTCGACCGTCCCGGATAGACGACGTACCGGTGACTTTTCGTCATTCCCTCCAGTGCACGCATAGTTATTACCCCTCCTTATTTGATCATTAGCGCGTGTTTATTATTTTTCACGGTACCGAACGATCAACGTCGTCAAACAATATTAATTTACGTGGTTTTGAATGTACCATTTCGTTTGGTTTAAATTTTGTTTTATTCACAGTCCCGCGAGTACACAATTTTGTTTTGAGTGTTTCGATAGTTTGTTTGGAGGGGGAGCTGGGTGTAAGTCATAAGCTAGTTAAAGGGCGAGTTTTAAACGAACGCTTCCGTTGCCCAAATGTTCCTTGTACAATATAAGCAGTCGTGCGACTATGCGAAATTCAAATTCTAACGGTACCAAAAGGGGTGGCGAAATTTCTATGAGAAAAATTGTAAAATACCGTTGATAACCTACAGCTTTGTGTTGGGAAAAAAAAATATCCATTAAATAGAATACAATTATGAAAGGCACTCGTGAAATTCTACGCGGACAACCGGGTCACCGGTAGGTAAAATATTGTATTTAGTATCTAAAGTTGTATAATTTAATAATTCCGGGGATGAGGAGTTACGGTCCATAATATATAAGCGCGAAATTGAACGATGTCGTATCGCAAGGCATCTACCGCGAATTCTTTCCTCCCCCCCCCCTTTCCCCATTAATGTATTACCGTTTCGTGTTTAGATTTTGTACATCGAACCGATTCAATGAGCGATACAAAGGTCGAATGCGATAAGTTATTTTTTGCGACCTCGCTCCCCACCTCCTACGCGCAATTATCTCCCGCGTTCGCCACTGAACGTGAAATGCGTACTTTTTCGCGGGTCCCCCCCCCCCGTTCAGCGCATAACCAACGCTGCACAACGAGTACAGACAGCCAACTACAGAGCCTTTGGGTCCTTTCGCGCACCGAGAGCGGTCAATGAGCGGACAACAGTAATCCTCCTTTCGGCACGCTGTGCATAATTATTTTATTATTTCGCGCACGAAATCCGCGGACGAACGGTGCGAACGGCGCGATTCGTTCGATCCGGTCCTGGACGCACGTTTATAATGTTATGTGAACCGGATTAGTCGGCTTGTCGTGACGTTGTAATTATATTATAATAAACACGTTCAGAATATAAAATTGTTGTTCAACGTTACGAAACGACAGTTTTCTACCTGTTTTTCAATTGTATATTTGGCCGGAAACCCTATAACCGCTGTAACAATAACGAACAATCAAAAAAAAAAATAAAAATAGAACTGTTTCGGTATCTATTGTTGTTTCCGTTAAATTTGCAAAACACAAATCAATAAATACTAACGATTAATAATTAATTTAAAATAAAATCCGCGGTCATTAATAATAATATTCTATTAATATCCGAATCAATTCGAACGGCCAGAATTTCCAAATTGTAATTATTCATAATGATGTTATAGTGATCAATTTAGGCGAAATCGCGTGAAAAATAAAATGCTTGAAGACCGAATTTTATTTTTAGTATTATAATTTATATACAATTTTATAGGCACGAGTTTTAAGGAATATTCAACAATTTGTTCTCGTAATATGCTCCTACTCATATTATGCTGAGACGTTCATATTACATGGCCGTATAAATCACGCAAGCTAATCCAGCTCGCCAGCTCTTCCTCATTTTTGATGTTTTGTATGTGTAATGGTGTTGGCGAGGGGGTGTTTGTAAATTAATCTAAAGCCGTTGGCATACACATTATGTGGTTTCTCGTAAAACTCCGTTAAAGGATGAAAAGTAACATCAAAAATCAATAATATGTATAGTGACTATACAAACAGTTCGTGGCTAGTCGTACTAATTCGTACGAATTAAGTACCTATTAAATAATTGTAAAATAATTATTTATATGAGGAGAAACGTTTCTCTTATCCCCTCCAGGTTTTCCGCAAACGCCTCTGAAACTATTACCAAACAAATTATGAAGCTTGTCGTACGAATTCGTACTAAATACCTAATTTGCGAAAATAAAATCAAAAAGTTTATGGGGAGGGGGAGGACGCTGGAGAAACGCATGTGTATAAATCATATATTATAAAAAATTGCCAAGATATATCAATATTATATTAATAATATTAGTTGAATAAAATGGAAAATAACAATACATTTATGTCCTACATAGATATGGATATTAGGGTGGTCCTTATGTTTCATTTGTGATTTTTTTCAGATTACCCTCCTCAAAAAGGTTCGATTACTAAATAAAACCATAAAAAAAAATGTTCAAGCCAGTTAATTGATTTTAATCCGTGCCACAAAAGCCCTAAAGTTACAATAATAGAAAATGTATCAATATTATTAATTTTTTAAATACTCTTAAACATAACTCTAGAAAAAAAAATGTTACGAAAAATTGGTTAACACGCAAATGACAGAATACTAAATTCACAATAATTTGTTTGTAAATATTTTATTTTTTTAAATATTTTAACGATAAGTTTAAAAAAAAAAGAATTATCTGGTATATATTTCAGGCAACTTAAAATACAAATATTTAACTTATAATTATTATTATTTATTACAATTTACAATTTATATTAAATAATAACATGATGATTTTTTTATCCATAGCATACTTTAAATATAAATGATACAACCAAATTTATGACAGTGTTTTTTTTTATCCAATGGATATATATGTATACTTTAGGTACATATGTAAAACGAATTAATAAACTATTAAAAAAAAAAAAAAAAAACAAAGCCTTGGCGTTGTTATATATTAGCTGCATATACTATAAACTACGGGTTTTAATGTTAAAAAAAAAGTGCTGATACCGGAGACGGGTGGTGCCACTGTTGTGGGTGGAAAGTTGAATAAATTGAATTATTTAATTATATTAAAATATTAAATATATTTATAAGCAACGATAAACCATTTTTTTTCAGAGGCCGTTTAGCCCGTTTAGGCCCATTGATGTATTACACACTTCTTTCCATCCTTCTCTATCCAATGTTACCTCTCTATAGTTTTCCACTCCTAGTATTGTTAGATCTTTTGCGATCTTATCACACCATCGTTGTTTAGGCCTGCCTAAGGGCCTCTTTCCTTTCCTCTTTTTTTTTGGAACAAATAACAATATTTCTGGTAGAAAACATAAAGCGCACAAATTTAAAATAATGAAATCGTAACGTCGGGTGTCGTATATTTGTCGTATATTATTTTGAAAAAGTAAGCGAAATTAGCCACAAAAATCGAAAATTAGTAATAGGAGAGTAGAAGTTCAGAAGGCGGGTGTAGAGTCATCCGACTGCCTCTTTTACCACCCAACAACCGTTTATCACAATGCCCCCCATGACAATCCGCCGCCACGCAGCTTTCCGCTATCCGACTGTTTCTGCGATCATTGTTCTTCAGTTTTCGTGCCTAAAATCGTCAGAATATAATTTTTTGCTGTTTTAATTATTATGATTTTAGATTCTGAGTGGAACGAAAAAGCTTATGGTTTTACAAAGATGTTTATTTATTTTATATTTTTTTGTGGCTAATTTTTTTACCGGGAATCATGCTCCGATTTACAAGTGTAACACTTTTCCCAAAAGGAAATGAGACTGGAGAGGTACTTTAGAGAGATCATTTGTTTATTTTTTTATTTTATTACGGGAAAAACATAGGAAAAACGGGGAAAATAGGTACAAATAGGTTATTTTACCATAATATGGCCTACATAATGTTGACAAAGCAAATCTGTCAACTTAATTCCGCTCAGAATCGTTTTTTCGTTAGCAATAGTTTATCGTTGCTTACAGATATACATTAAATGTCCTCACTACTACCTTCCTTATTTCACACCTACAACAGTAGTCCACCCACGTGTGAAGGTGCTCGGTTTTTTTTAATATTAAGTGGTAGTGGTGCACTAAACTAGCACAAATAATGTTCAGACATCTTCGATTTATAATAAAGTAAAAACTAAATTATTAAAATGGTTAATACTTATAAATAAATAAACAATTTATAAATAAAAATAATATAAATAAATGAATAAATGCTTTGATTTATTTTGTATTATTATTATTTTTGTATTGGATTTTTCTATTAGTGAAAAGTTAAGTTAGATCAAGTTTTGCTTTTTCCAATTTTTTTTCATTTATAAACCTAGTTGATAAATTGAGCCACAATTTAGATTTGATGATTTTGGGATGGAGAAATTACATAAATTAAACCTATTAAGGGTTTACCTGGTCGAAATTGCATACCGGTGTGATCCTTAGCAAATAAAATATGTACATACCTGTCTACATTAAAATGTGAGTGGCGGGTTGATAATTTATACTACACGCATCTTGTCATTAATTAATTTATAACCATTTCGATAACTAAATCTGGTCCCAAGGGTTTCATTTCAGTCAATTTCGTATTGTTAGGTTATAATACTGTAATAGTATTACAAGTATATTACGTTTTGAAAATCCATACACCAATATTATTTCGAAAACAGACTTATACAATTTAGAGTGAAAATAAACAGAACAAAATTACAGAAGACATAATTATAGGGGGGAAAAAAAAAAAAACGCAATCCATTTAAGTTCTTATTCTCTGTGTCCATTGCATACACGGTGACGTATATAAACAACTGTACTTGAACCTTAAATAAAAATAAAATAAAAAAATAAATTTTCAGTAATTTTCGTAAAACGATACAATAATTTATGACGTATTACTAGTGTTTATTTTCGCCATCTATACAGTTGTTTTAAATAATTTTATTACGAGTTCGTTTGTTTATTGCGACATTATATCGAGTTTGACTGGTTCAATTCAAACGGAACGCGAATACCAAATTGTAGAAGTACGTGTATACGTATTGTTCATTCTATTCTATAGTATTATTGGTGTACCAGGACTAGGTATAAAATGTAACGTTTTATAAGATTGTTTTTGTTTCCGACGGATCAGTAGAATGTTTACGAGATAGTATGCCAAAATTCTTTGGAACGATTGGGACAATATTTTGCGGCACTTTGCAGGTTTCCCAATGTATTATATACGTTAAAAGCCCAATTAAACCACCATTGTTGGCTGTTGGCTATGGATATTTTTGGTAAAACATCATACCTATTATATTATTGTTTTATTTCACAGTAATACAATTTATTAAATCAAATCCCATGTATATTGGCCGCAACATTTTAAATTATTATATTTATTTTCTCTATAAAATCAAAAATTGTTTGGCATTGTGTATATTATTTTTAATTTTAATTTTTCACATTTTCCGCTAACGTTCGCGTACTGCGTGCATTAGCCAGTCGTATACCTACTATCCCGACAACAATGGTTCCCAATATTATTATATCCGCAAGTCGTATACTATACTGTTAGGTAACAGTAATGCATTTCTATTATAATTTATAATTAACAATTAAAAATTAAAAACATTTAAATATTTTACGTGTTATTTTTTGTACGCTAAAAATAAAATCATTATCGATTATACAATAAAATGCACACTGACAAAATATTATTTAATTAAGTCCGAATATGAGAAACATCGTATATGGTATTGTATATTATTATATTAATCGTTGTTCAACGTTAAAAATAGTTTTGCTTCGTTGACTTCGTGTGATAATATCCATTTGCATAAGTCAAGCGAATATTACGTCGCCACCGTGCTGAAAAAAGTGACTAAATGATTGAAAAAATGTAAATTTAAATTGTATTCAATTTTGATTTTAATCAAGGATTACGTGTTAAATGGTTTCTAAACTATTTACGACATTCGTTTGTTCGTATATAAACATATTTGTTTTTATACCAGGTCGCTATTTACACTGTTCACACCATTATAATACAACTATACATAATAGTTTGTAAAAATATTTTAATTTATTTCTAAATTTTCTTTACTATAGTAGTTACAATAATTGACACTTTATATATTATTATAATTTATTTACGTTATTTAATTATAAATTGTAGACACTATAAATATTTTTATTTTTTTTTTATATTTTTAACGTATCTAACAATAATTCCTTGAATTTTATAAACGTGTAAAATACTAATGAAAAATGTTCACGTTAGTCAAATATTAATTTTTTTTTTTTAAACGTAATAAAAGTTATACGTAGGCATATTTTATAGGAATTTCATGAATAGTATAATTAATTTAATTTAAACATTTAATATAATAATGAGAAAAAAAACGTTATTATAGGTAAGTATCTAACCGAAATAACCGGTTATAGTGGATTATAAAAAAAATAACACGCTAAAGATAAACTCTTAAACAAGAAACTACAAAAGTGTCTCGAGATTCATTAAGAAGGGACATATATTATACATGTCTATTTCCATATTTACCATTTCCGTTTAAATAAACAGCCAACGAACAGAATGAATCTGGCAGTATTTTGGTGTGTATATGTAGCGCGTTGAGATCGTTAATAGCAGGATACAATTTCAAAATATTATAGTATAGATAAAATAATTTAACGCAATTTAAAAAAAGAAATCTTGTAATTTGTTCACGTGTATTGCGATGTCATTTCCCCCCCCTCCCCGTTCGACTAACTCTGTGTGTATACTAAAACCTGTAAGGGCCGGGCTTTTTCACACCAATAAAATACAGGACTGTGCTTTTATACAAGCACAAAAAAAACCACGGGCCGGACCGGGGGCCAAGAATTGTCGGCCCGTGCAGGCCTTTGGTATATATCACTAAGGTCTTAGGTGTACTATAAATGCAATTTAAACGGCGCATAAAACACATAATGTTAGTTTTAAGAATCGATAAAATACCACAATAATGCATAATAGTTTTCTAAAGTAAATAGACCGACTACACGTCTATACAGCAGACGTATACTATATAATATGGCAGAAATTTGTTAATAGGTTTGTTTTTGATAGTTTTATAAGTATCTTTCCGACAAAGGTATTTTGAATTTCCATACTGTAATTAAGTGGACGTGTTATCCGCACGCGCTGTCTCCGTCTTAAAATTGTACGTCATACTAAATTTTGAGTTCAGCAGGGACAACTTTGCGCCGTTGGTTTTAATATTAGAGTGAATTGACTTGGAATCAAACTTAAAGATCAGTACATTGTTTATTCGAACCCGTCGTTATTTTTAAACAGTTTTTAACGATATTTTACATAGGTACTCCTAAATCTCTTGAAAAATCAAAATATTTCCATAAAAAACCGACAGAGACATGAGGGCATCACGAATTGTCGTCGTGTAATTTAAGTAATTTGATACGAAAACTTAAAATAGATAAATGTAATATCTATCAATATAGATAATTTATGGGTATAGTAAAAATAGTATAAATAGACAATAAATAATTGTTATTATTGATATTTTACAATATACATATAGATTAGGTATAATAACAAAAGATGTTTTTAAAAACAAATTAAAATTATACCTAAATAATATGTAAAAATATCTATAAGTTCGATAATATTGTTAATACGAATCAAAAGAAACAGAAACAGATGGGCCAGGAAAAATATTAATACGTCTAATCAATATTATAAATTTAATATAATATAAAAATACGAATCCAATAATTTTAATTATAACTTTTATTTGATTAAACAATTTGAAAATAATATTCTTGTTTATCGAATTTTCAACAAACAGATATTATATAAAATTAATTAGGTGTGTCGTAAATAATATTTCAAATCCAAAAGTGATCGTAATAACATCGGTTTAGCCTATTTTTATACAGCAGAGGTACTATTCACAAACTCACAATGCAATTTTCTCGCGTATCATAATGAATAATACAATTTTTTTTTTTAGACGTGTCTGTCATTTTACGAATAATTTACTATAAATGCAACCGCTAAATTATACCTATAAACTATCTATTATACCAACAAATATGATTTAATAATTCTTCGCGGGGGCGGAGGAAATAGAGCGAATTCAATTATTTTCCTCGAATGTTCAGCCTATTCGGGTGTTCTAGCGTTTGCTAGTTTTAGAAATCTCTTGGGACATTTTTTGATAATTTTCTGGATTTGGTCAAACATAGCACACGCTCTTTTTATCATATTGCTTTATCATTACTTTCACGTATACAATAACAATCTGAAGTTACGCGTTCCAACGTGCGCCAGGACACAAATCACTGATACCGTGTATTTTTAGTTGACTCGTTTCATATACACGTCAGATGTTATGCGTCTAGACGTTGTAAGCAGAGTCATTCCTTCTCGAGCAGTGTTGTGCGTCAGACACAAACAAACAGTATTATAATGAAATTTGTTTGCGGTCGTTGAAGATGAATTATCAATATGCAATCAATACCATTCAATTCCACACAGACATTTTTGACAGTGCTAATCCTAAACATATAAAAATAACATCTATAAAGATAAACATTGTGGAAAGATGTGTCCAAAAAAATCTGGTAAGTATACATATATAAGATGATGCCATTGACTTATTCTTTAAGAATATGGCGAAAAAAGTTAGGCAATTACCAAAATAGGTATACATGAAGCCAAAAAAGACATTTTTGAATTTAGTATTGGAGTTTGAAGAAAAATATTCCGGATCAATGGAGTCAGAGACTTCAACATATCCTTCACTGAGTCCTTAGTGCTTCATTTAGAATAAGCAGATCAAAATACATTTACTCCGTACAACATACCCAAAAATTTACAGTGAACATAAATCACAATAATATTGTTCTGTATAATTACACATACTAAATTATATTTTTACTTTAATTGTATAAAAAAATAAACGCTATTCCTTTTTTAAGTTTAAATACATTTGGACATTACTTTTTAGATTCTGAGCGAAGTGAGAAATGTATTAGTTTTACAATGATGTTTATTTTTTTTCTGTGTACAACTTTTATACCAGCAATTTTGTTCCAATTTTCAATTATAGCACTTTTTCTGAAAGTGGTCTGACTGGGGTAGTACTTTAGAGAGGTTTTTTTTTATTTTCCCAGCTGTTTTCATAATAAATGGGAACAACAAGGAAAAAAATGTAGGAAAAACAGAAAAATAGATACTATATCAAACAAATATTATTAAAGAAAATATATTATGCATACATATGCATAATATAATAATAATAATAATAATTACATAATTATTTTACCACAATATGACATATATATTGTTGACAAAATAATACTATTAACAGAACTTTGCTCAGAATCGTTTTTCATTAGCAATAATTAATTGTTGCGTACAGATATATACTAAATTTCCCCTCTACTTTTCAAACTTCTCACCTATAACAGTGGCCCATCCATCATGACACGTATGGATGGGTTGATGGATAGATAGATACGTTGAAGACTCTAATGCTACTGATAGGAAATAAATTGTATTTCTGTTATAAATTAATTAACGTTAAAGTTATAACTTATAATATAATACCTATGCAATAATATTGTAAATGGACCAAGCCAATCGCGAGCGGAACTATGTTTAATTTTTTCTTTTTTTCTGTGAACAACTTTTCTACCAAAAATTTTATTTCGATTTCCAAAGCGTGGCACTTTTTCTGAAAGGAAATTTGATTGGAGTAAAGTACTAACTTTAAGAAGATCATTTTTTGATTTTTTCAAAGGTTTTCATAATAAATGGGAAAAAAATGTAGGAAAACGAGAAAATTTACGAAATGTATTATTTTAAAATCGTAAATATTACGGCCTTTCAAAAAATGTATAATCGAACTCCGGTCAGATTCTTTTTTTATTAGCAAAAATTAATCGTTGCGTACATTTATATACATTAAATTCCCCTCTATATCCTACTTTCTCAACTTCTTACCTACAACAGTGGCCCACCCATCGTGCACAAAGTATGTCCGTTTGTTTTTTTTTTAATTCCTTTTTTACCAAATTAATAATATTCCCGATATGGTGCGAATATCAAACACATGCTGTTTTGAAGAAAACAATTCAATATCTAATAATTTAAAAATAATTACACTTGCATCTAGCGAGAACAAATATAACAGGGTACCAGTATATGTCTACCAATTTAATAATATACAACAAACTGCTGTCTAATATTTAGGGCTATTTTTGGAAAACGCGCGTAAAACTTCTATAGCAGACGAGAGCCGTGATTCGTTGTTACGCTGCAGTGTTTCCCAACCTACAGGTGGGCATTTTTAGATTGTTTAGGTCGAAGGGGGACGTGAGAGTCATATTCTCATCCATAAAATGTAATAATTAATACAAATTAATACAACTATGACGTTTTAATTCACGAGCCGTTTTACAAACAAATTCATATATTCAAAATTATTCGAATAATTTTAGGCGGCAATTTTTAGAGGAAAGAGAGAAAGGTTAGAATAAGGACAATAAAGAAAATGTTATGTGTGTGTCCATTTAAATGAGAAAAGGGTTGCTGTTATAACACTATTAAACACGGTTATTATTTTACGTTACGGTGTTGAGAGTAGGAGTAGGAGTGCTCTTACTCTTAAAACTGTGGCATATTTGAACACCTGTATAGAGTATTCAAAAACGATCGGTGAAGTATAGGTAATAATACTGTTGGATATGTTTAAACGTTTTTTTATATACAATAAAATAAATAAGAACACTCAAATAACATAGATGAGCTACTACCACCGGCAATCCTTTTACGTTATTGCACTGCATTATACATCGAGGATTGTAGTTGTAAATTCCGTCATCGTTCCCCTCTCTTCGTATACGCGCGTACACATTCAAATGCAAAACAAATCTTTATCTCGCGTATCCGACCGAAAACGAACAGGGGTGTTTATTTTATTTATGTATACACTAGGATTTTTTTTGTGACCGTATATTTCCTATGTAATAATAAAATATAATACAACTAAAACGCTTTTGACAGGTTTTCGCTTGTACGTAATAAAATCATAATATAAATGGGTATGCCATGTATATATAGTACCATACATAAACGATTATTGGGGGGAAAAAAAAAAAAAAAAATGAAAAACCTAGTAAAAAAAAATATTCCGAGCACGTAAAAAAAAAAATAATAAATATAGCAATAGTCCCCCTCGTGACCTTGTATCCCGTATTCCTATTGGTTGAACGCGCGTTTTATTATTATATAGAAGGGTTGTTTTTTTCTTTAGCTGCAGTCTGCATAATGAACTCGAACGCCCGACAAAAAAAAAAAAAACCATCCACCAATCGTGACGTTCACCTAGTACACTCCCATCGTCGTCAAAAGGGTTCAAAAAAAAAAGTGGAAAAAAAAACAACTAACATTACGTCACCGTCATAAAATATACTCGAGAACGACAACCGGGTGTACCTGGACTATATTTACATGTATGGAGAAATCGTTTTTGAAACGCATGTATAGTGTATAACATTTACGTAATTATTCGGCTATTAGAATCGTATTTACCGCAGTATTTCGTTGACACGCACACGTAATTTATTTTTATACAGAGTGATTCGTTTATCATACGGCAAATTCGATTTTGTTTTTTTTCCAAAACACAATATTATCGAATAACGACGATATATTTCTATATTTCTCATATGAGTTTTCAAAATATCACCGTCATTCCGTGTAATATAATATTAACATATCAAAAACAATAGTAATTATTATGCATACGTATACACCAATCAACCCGTACATAATATTATGTATTTAAGAGGACTTTATAGCCGCATCTACTGTCCGAATCCGACTGCCGGGTAGCATGGAAAAACAATGCTTACGCAGAATATGTAAGATCAGCTTGATTTCGATTTTAGAGTAAAAGTATCCATTATGGAATTTATAGAGAACATTATTCTGGAGGGAATGTCATTGGGTTTCTTGTAGTATTTTAAATATGCGGCTCGATATAATAGATACAAAAACCTTTTGTTTTTTGTATTTTTAAATAACTGCAACTTGTTTAATAGTACATAATTAAAAAACCATCTATGATTTCCAAAATATTGTTCTCTGTAAATTTCATAATGAGTAATCACGATTGAATTCAAAAATTATAACACCGATGTACGGAATGTATAGCGAAAATAAATTTACTTAAAATCTTCGAACAGTCGCTGATCTGAGATGAAAATATACCCGCATCTACTGTAACATACAAAAAGAATGCTTACGCAGAATAAGTAAAACTAGCGTATTTAAAGTAAAAGTACTTATTATGAAATGTATAGAGAACAATATTTTGGAGGAAATTTCATAGGTATTTTTTGAATTATGAACTATTAAAAAAGTTACAATTATTTAAAAAAAGAAAAAAAAAAGGATTTTGTATCTATTATATCGGGCTGTATATTTTGAAGAATACAAATAAAACCCTATGACATTCCCTTCAAAATACTGTTGAAATCAAGCTAATTTTACTTATTTTTACGTAAGCAATTGTTTTTGCATGTTACCAGGTAGTTGGACCAAGACAGTAGATGCGGGTATAACGTCCTCGGATTTTACAGATTTCAAAATTTTATATTCCAGATTTGTACCGTCCAAGTTTTTACATTCCAGGTTTTTCCGTGGAAATTTTTTATGTGGATATCGGAATCTGACCATTATCAAGTCGAATTTGAATTTCAACAAAATTTTAGAAACACGATAATTATCAATTATTACGTCGTCGATTGCAAGCTAATATCCAGATTTCTGGTCGGTTACCTATTTACAGCTTACCTTATAGTGTCCGGGTTTGGTATTCGAATTCGAAAATGGTTGTTGAACTAGAACTCGTCTATATTTCAACCATTGGTGGCACAGCGTGAAGTTTTTCGCTATTCATCTTCAGTTTCGGTAAAATTATGTAAAAAAACCACCAGATCCCAGGAGCTATACCCATTAATGTTAGGTACATACACAGTGTGTATGTAGTTTTCTATTTTTGTAAATTTAGAGCTGTTGTGGCACGGGTTAATATTAATGAATTTGTCTGAAACTTTTTTTGTAGCGTTTTTTTTAGTAATCGAACCTTTTTAGAGGGGGTAACCTGAAAAAAATCACAAGCGAAAAATAAGAACCACCCTATTACATATTACACACTATACATTTTCCTGTACCGCTGGCGTAAATTGGTGTCAATTTCTAACGGTGCAGTGAAATATTTAATTTTACGATCAATAAAATACTCCATTTTTCTGGATAAATCTTAGAACTTTAAATGATTGATAAACAATTAGTTTTTATCTATAACAATCTTTTTTTTCTCACGAAAATCAAAAATGAATATTGCCTTATTTGAACACTGAACAGTAAAACTTTATAAATTATTAAATATTATAAAAGTATTCAATATAATATGTGAGGTGAGTGGACAAATAATGCCAATGGATCTAAATCACGTGATATTGCTAGATGTACCTACTCCATTATATGTGCCATACTATCTGTTACATATCAAATAATATGGTTATGGTACTAATCGTATCACAAGGTTATATCATAACAAAATTTACAATGTTTTTACTAACTTAAAAAATGTCAAATAAATTTACTTTCGAATTTTCTGGTGGTGCAAAAATATAAGTTTGCACAGTCTAATTTACGCCACTGTCCTGTAATTTACCTTTTTTGTTAACATATCTCGTGAGTTACATAATCGGGACTTCAGGAATTGCTTAGTTATTTGGCTTGACATTAAATCTAGTAATGTGGTATAGACATTAATCTCTGAAATTTAAAAGAAAGATGCTTTTAAAAAAAAAAATTAAATGCATTTTAGCCGATTATGAAGTGTTTCAAGTACTTTTTTGTTGATTTTTTTAAAACTTTTTAAAACATTTCGTTTTCCTTAAGCAAAACATAATACACATTTTTTATATTTCTAACTAAATCTAGGTTCTGGTTACATAACCATATTTTCATTTTATTAGTTAGGCTATTATGGAATATTCAGTATATTTTTCATTTTTTTTTAATTTTATCAGTATACAATTTATCACAGAACCATTGGGAATTATTTTATTATATAGACGATTTAAAATTGAGAAAACAGTATAATATTATTATTGCAATATCGTAATAATTCTTAATAGTGAAGCGGTTCGAAATAGAAACGAGTTCTTAATAGCTTATCTCAAACTGTCCGCGTGATTATATTTTATAAATAATTGCAAACTAGGTAATAAAAGTGTAATAAAAGTGTAATTAATTAATTAATTAATAAATCAATTATTGTTCTTGGCGGTGGGTGAGTAAAAAGATGATATACTTTGACCGTGTCACTGTTGTAGGTAGGAACTGGGAAGTTGGGCAGATAGGATATATTATAGGTAAATTCAATATTTATATTTGTACGCAAATGATAAATCGAAACGATTTTGAGCGAAGTTCGGTTAAACGTGTTTCAGTAAACATAAATTGAAAATTTTATTAATTCGTAAAAACAGAAAATAAATTACAATTGCCCGTGGTTTTTCGTGTTAAATTATTGAGAATAGTACGCGATTTATACGATTTCTAATAAAAATTTAACTTTAAACGCTTTTGAAAAAAAATATGATTTTGAATGAACGCAATGCTCAATTTTTTTTTTCACAACTGAGTGAAGTACAACTTTTGTTAATTATTGTATTGTTGTATAAGACTTCGAAGTGATAACAGGAAATCGCGAAACAGTTTTTGTTATTGAGTTAGTATTAAGCATAGCGTCTAGGTAGCATCATCACTTATAAGAAGTAGGTGAACAAATTATTATAAATATATGAAATGCAAACGAAAGATGATCTGCAGTGTCAACGAGAAACGGCGTAATTTACGTGTGACCGTTTTGGGTCGGAAATAAAAATTTATATTTTGTAGGTGGGGAGTTGGGAAGGTAGCTTACAGACGGGAATTTCATGTATATCTGTAAACAACGATAAATCATCGCTAACGAAAAAACGATTATGAGCAGAGTTCAGTTGATAATGTTGTTTTGTTAACAATGCAGTATATGGTATCAGTGGCGTGCTGAACATTTTTCGTATTTGAGGCAAAATAAAAAAATTTAGACCCACCCAATTAAAACATGGATTTTTACATAAACTACACATAATTGCAGAACAAACTTTATTTAGCTATATTAACTACATAATATAGGACCTATATATAGGAGGCTATCATATTTGTAATTAGATATTTATATCAATAATATAATATACAAAATTTATTCGATATATTTGGTCAGCTATCCACCCACCCATTTTAGTCATAAGGCAATCGCCTCAAAAAAACCTACTTCGCCACTTACGCCACTGTACGGTATTATGTCATATTATGGTAAAATGATTAAAACAATGTGCGTTTCCATGACAATAGTGATTGTTTAAAAAAGATAAAAGTAATAAAAATTTAATA